CTTCGCGCTCGCAGCTTCAGCGACCGCGGTTTCCTCTCCCCCCTGAGCATGGGAGGCGAGGAGAGAGGAGAGGAGCACCGGCGGCTTGGCCGCGGCCGGAGCGGAGGGATGTGGATGTCCCGTGCGCATCGGCGATGGGAGTGAAGCCGTTACAATTTGGTCCACCATGGTTCAGAATGTGAATCCTCTTCACATGAATCCCTACAATACAAGTATATATTCTTCAGTGCCTAGGCAATTTTGTTCTATTACTAGGCGAACACTACTAGGAAAATGCTTATATATAGAATTTTAGCAGTAGCACCGGCCAGAACGGGCGCTACTGCTAGTGAGTAGTAGCAGCGCTGGTTGGCGCGGGCCGCTGCTGTTTAGCGGGCCACCGGGGCCAAAGGGCAGGCCACTTAGCTGCAGCGTGTGTTTTGCACCAGCGCTACAGCTAGTGGGCTTAGCAGTAGCGCTGGCCCATTGCCCGTGCTATTGTTAAGCCCACTCCCTCTCCCCCCGCGCGCCCCCGGCCCGGCCTGCCTCATCTCTCACTAAAGCTTACTCACACTCTCCACACTCCTCCCTCTCAATCCCCCGCGCGCCGCCGTCGACCCGCACACTGTCGTCCCCCGGGCCGGCCCTCCTCCCTGCTGCTTCGGCCGCCCTCGCCCGTGCCGGCCCTCCTCCTCGCCGGCCGCCCTCCCCCGCGTCGGCCTCCTCCCCCGCCGGCCGCCCCGGCCCCCGCGCCGGCTCTCCTCCCGCGCCGGCCCTCCTCCACCGTACCGAGAAGTACCCCTCCCTCTTCTTCCTCCTCCTCCCTCCTCCCTAGCTAGTTATAGTTATTAGAGTAGTTATTTTGAATCCTATGTAGTTGAAAAAATGTAGGTTATTAGAATAATTAGTATGAACCCTAGTTAATTCGTATGAACCCTAGGTTTTCAAATTTAGCTAGGTTTTAAAGATAGGACAGAAATTTAGTTAGGTTTTTAATTAGGTGTAGTTAATAGAATTTAGGTGTTTTAGTTGTTTTAGGTGTAGTTAACAGAATTTTAGGTGTTTTAGTTATTTTAGGTCTAGTTAACATAATTGTAGCTATTTTTTTAGTTAAAGCAATTGTTGTTATTTTTTTTAGTTAAAGCAATTTTTCCTGTTATATGCAAATTTTCAGTGGACATGTCATATTTTGAACATGTCACATTTTTGACATGTCATATTTTTCCGAGTGGCCTATGTTTTGCCAGAAATGTCGATTTGTTTATGTTCTGGCAAATTTCAGGCGCTCGATATGTCCTATTTTTAGCAAAGGTCATGCCCAATTTTGCTAAGTGTTTATTAATTTTGTTTTCATAATTAAGCATAAGTTTTTCTTATTTTTTCCGCAATACTCTGCGCGATCCTGATTTGTAGCGGTTTCTTCAGAGTCTATCCTAATCTTCAGCCCCGCATGCAACGCTACCTCCTCCCGTGCATTAATTACTGACCGCGCATGCATGCAAAGGAGAATGGGCCAATAACAGCCATGCAGAGGAAACGAGGAGGACGGGCCAATAACTGGCTCCGGTGATCATAGCTTCCCAGCTTTCCTGGTCGCTGCAATTCAACTAGCACAGGGGCAATTTCGTCCAAAAAATTACAAGTAGGTCTCCTTGGTATGCGTGATATGAGTTATGCGTAGACTAAAAAAATAGGAGGGAGTATTATGCAGTAGAAAATATCATTTATATTTGATCATATATATTTCATCGTAGATACAAAGTGATGGGTTTCGACATATGCACTAATGTAACGATGACAGACCGCACTGAAACACCACGAGAAGAGGTGCATATAGCTAACCTTCCTCGGTATGTATATTGTACATGCAAATACGAAAGGTATATTTTTGTATATTATTGTCTTTTCAGAATATAGGAGACATGGATATGGACTTTGGATATGCACAAAAATAATCCATTGAGAGTTCCGATGTGAAGTTGCTAAAAGGGACAGTAAATTCACCGAGTTTTTTACAACATAATGATGTCGAAGCGGTGATATCTCATAACAAACCAAAAAAGGACGCCAATTTAAATGTTATCGCACAAGGTATTTCTTTAATGTTATTATCAGTATTTTCTTTGTGAAATTGCCTTCTGTATTCAACTAATTTGGCTCATTTTGTTGTCTAAGTTGGCTCACTTTTTTATGACATCGATAGACTATGTTTGTACCTCTAAAGATATTTCAGTCATCGAATCAATGATGTCTGCCCCCAAGGAAACCTTGTTCGTGGACATCTTGTTATCAACGGATGATTTGGAATGCCTTTTGAAAGATGATATGTTCTTACACGATGGTGTAAGACCAACTGCATAAACTTTGTAAATAATAATTGCAACGAAATATATTATTGTAATATATATATATATATATATATATATATATTACTATATATAGGGTCATGCTATTCGTCACCCTGTGTGAAGAATAGTTATTCTCCATACCCCCTCTATTTTGAGGTCAATGCACCCTATTTTTAGGTTTCGTAAATTTTGTCTTATTTTATACGTAAAAAGAGAACGTAAGAACATATATAAAAAAATTTATGTTACGTAAATTATGAACATAAAAACATAGTGTAAAACATACATAAAATATGATATTTCCGGTCTTATAACATATTTTTTCGTTTTCTTATACTAATTTTTACATAGTGAATCAATATGAATGTAACTATTTGTATTCCAAACATAATTTATTTATGAAGCGATCGTAAAATTACCTCGGG